CATAATGAGATTGAAGACAAATTATACAGTAAATGAAAATGTGTCCTTTTGTTAGGCTATTGCTGCACGTTTCTTTGTGAAGTTGAAATATAACAAAACTAAATTGAAATTTTAAAACAAACCCCAAATCAAATAAGTGACACAAATAAAATAAATCTCTTCATTTAAACAAACTCAGGCTTTGTCTGTGCTCTTTCCATTTAAAATGAGAGGCATCCACTGCATTTTAATCATCATCCAAACGAAGATGCAGCATACATGCAACACCAGCAGTTTTTAATCTAAATTAGATCGTTTTTGCTTCAAATTTCGAAATTATACAGAGTGGTCTGACTTTAGTTTTGTGAAACTATGTATAAAACATATCTGAAGGAAACAGCAGAAGCTCTGAATGAGACGCAGATTCAATCTCTGCCAGCAGGTGGCGCTCATGAACAGCAATGATACAGTGTTTCCTTGGTTACCGCTGTAAACAAAGCAGAGCTGCTTATGAACAGCAATGATACAGTGTTTCCTTGGTTACCGCTGTAAACAAAGCAGCGCTGTTTATGAACAGCAGCGATACAGTGTTTCCTTGGTTACCGCTCTAAACAAAGCAGAGCTGCGCTTATGAACAGCAATGATACAGTGTTTCCTTGGTTACCGCTGTAAACAAAGCAGAGCTGCTTATGAACAGCAGTGATAGTGTTTCTTTGGTTACCGCTGTAAACAAAGCAGAGCTGCGCTTATGAACAGCAATGATACAGTGTTTCCTTGGTTACCGCTGTAAACAAAGCAGTGCTGCCCTTATGAACAGCAGTGATACAGTGTTTCCTTGGTTACTGCTGTAAACAAAGCAGTGCTGCCCTTATGAACAGCAATGCTACAGTGTTTCCTTGGTTACTGCTGTAAACAAAGCAGCGCTGTGCTCATGAACAGCAATGATACAGTGTTTCCTTGGTTACCGCTGTAAACAAAGCAGAGCTGCTTATGAACAGCAATGATACAGTGTTTCCTTGGTTACCGCTGTAAACAAAGCAGAGCTGCGCTTATGAACAGCAGCGATACAGTGTTTCCTTGGTTACCGCTGTAAACAAAGCAGAGCTGCTTATGAACACTACTTTAATATGCATCGTTCAGAGACAAGATGAAAAGAAAATACCACGTAAACTTTTCTAAAGACATTGTTCCCCTCAGAGATACATTCATATAAACTCCTACTCCAATTGTATTGCGATTTGTTTGGCATCTCAACCAATTTGAATCGTCACATATTTGCTTGCGGTTCATCAACTTTTGAACGGGGTCACTTTTATTAATTCAACTATTATTTTCTAGGGATGCAACATCCCTAGAAAATAATAGTTGAATTTATAAAAGTGACCCCGTTCAAAAGTTTACATCCATGATTCTTAATACTGTGTTGTTAGCTGAATGATCCACAGCTGTGTTTTTGTGTTTAGTGATAGTTGTTCATGAGTCCCTTGTTTGTCCTGAACAGTTAAACTGCTGCTGTTCTTCAGAAAAATCCCCAGCTCCCACTAATTCTTTGGGTTTCCAGCATTTCTGTGTATTTGAACCCTTTCCAGCAATGACTGTATGATTCTGAGATCCATGTTTTCACACCGAGGACAACTGAGGGACTCGTATGCAGCTATTACAGAAGCTTCAGACGCTCGCTGATGCTCCAGAAGGAGACACCATGCATTAAGTGCCTTTTGAACTCTTAACTTTTGAACAGTATGGAGATGTGTACCTATTTCTTATTTTGCCTAAATATCATATTTTTTAATTTAGTGCTGCCCTTCAGAGGCTACAGAAGATAGTTACATGTTTTCCACTGTTTTCAGCATTGCTAATAATCAGAAATGTTTCTCGAGCAGCAGATCAGCATATTATCATGATTTCTGAAGATCATGTGACACTGAAGACTGGAGGAATGATGCTGAAAATACAGCTGCGCATCACAGACATACATTACAGCTTAACAGAGATTCACACAGAACACAGCTGTTTTACACCGTAATAATATTTCAGTGTTTTTAAGGTATTTTTCATCAAGTGAATGCAGCCTTGCTGAGCAGAAGAGACTCTTTCAGGAGTGTTGATCGTGATTCAGCCTCTCGAAGCTCTTTTTCATCTGATGATGTATGTACTCGTGGGAAAGCCTTTCAGACCTTAAACGCTGAGTCTAAACAAGCCCATAATTCTAAGTCCGGCCCATTGTTTGACACAGATCTGTTTTCACAGATATTAAGGGCAGTTTACCTCCTTTTAACTCAACAGGCTAAAGATTTAGCAATTAGGGCCTAATCACGATCATTATATGGAGTAATCCATCTGAAGCCTAACAGATGTGTGAGTGCGCTGGTCAAGGCCCGGTGTCGATGTGTTCACCTAATGGCTGTTATTTAGCCGGTCGCTCGTGACTGGAATGTTCTCTGATCTTCATGCTGCCAAAACACACTCAACACTTTGGGATTCTGATTCCTCTCACTTTCTCTCACTTGAGATTCAGTCAACCGCAGGCGTGAACCGCGCCGCATATCAGGACTTTCTGTTGGCCATTAAAGCAGTAACCCCCGTGAAGCCGTGGTTTACAGTGAATTTATATTTATATTTTTTATTATATTTATAAATTCACTGTAAACCACGGCTTCTTGGGGCTTATTGCTTTTATAAAACGGTTATTCACATATACGTAGTAAGGTTTCACAAAATAAAACAGAGCAAATAAAGTGTAAAGATATTAATAAACAGTATTCTTCCACCAAACAATGTAGCTCCTCAGAAACAGTTGTGGTTGCTACAAAGTAGTTGCCGAGCAACACACAGAAGTAAACAAAGGTATGTTACTTTGTAGCGTCATTCACAACAGCTTCGAAACATTTTGCTGATTATTCACACTATATTATATATTCATTATATTTTTACTTGACTTGTTAGAGATGTCTTAAATGATGCACGTTTGAATAAAATAAGTCTTTATGACAGCCACAATTTAAATTGTTATATTTCAACAACAAATTGGAGTAGAAACATAAAACTTGTCAGCTGAATGTTTTTTGTTCTTCAGTTAAAAAAAAAAAAAAGTACATCGCAAAATTTTTTTTTTTTTTTTTACAGTGTTGCAGTTTTTTTAAATTTACGGTTGCAGTTGTATACAAATAGTAGTATACTTCTGTCTTGGAAATGATTTATTATTATTATTATTATTATTATTAATGGTTCTCAGACAGCAGGGCTTCAGTTGATACTTTGGCTGTGATTAAAAATAAATTATTTTACATACTCCTGTTCATATTTCATGCCCCAAATGTTGTGGCAGTTTCGCCGGTGGCGTTGAATATCAATATTTTTGAAATCCTGAAGTGCTGCCGACACTTCTCTGTGCTGCTTTTCACTGAACAGATGAATCGAGGTGGTGCTTGTTTGTATTTGAATATATACAATTTGTATACAGTTTGTATATATCGCACGGACAGATTTGCAGTGGAAAAGCGCTCAGAAGTCATGTGACACTTTCTAAATTTTGATACTAAACCATATTATTAACTATAAGGTGGGAAAACAAGCTGATAATGGAATATTCAGCACATAGTTTTTAAAAATCAATAATATGAATGACAAATTTCCACTCACTGTAAATATAGTGCTGAACTTTATTACACACTTAACAATTATTTTATTTTATTATTTATTATTATTATTATTATTATTTATTTTTTTACGTGTGACCTGCCGATACCGATTTTCTTTCTAAGAACTATAATTGACAGCAAATACAAACAAAAATCTATACTTTTTTCAATGAAAAAAAAAAATATATATTTACATAAAAATATATATTAAACAGTACAATTCCCCCAATCTGGACTGTTACACACACACACACACACACACACACTCTCTCTCACACACACGTGCACACACACACACTCTCACACACACGTGCACACACACACACTCTCACACACACGTGCACACACACACACTCTCACACACACGTGCACACACACACACTCTCACACACACGTGCACACACACACACTCTCACACACACGTGCACACACACACATACTCTCACACACACACACACACACACACACACATATATATGTGTGTATGTGTGTGTAAAATATTTTTTTCACTGTTATACTTGTATATTTATTCCTATATATAAGAGCCTGTTACGTTTATACTCCATTATAGTATCCTTGTTTATGGTTTTTCTCTCTTTATTGTATTTCATTGTTTGTTGTGCAGCACTTTAGTTGGCCCTGTCTTTAAACGTGCTCTAGAAATAACTGAACTTGAACTATTACAAATATACTACAAACCAAATACAGTATTTTGTAGTTGTGTGTTTGTGTGTGCATATATATATATGTTTTTGAAAGAAGTCTCTAATGCTCATCAAGGCTGCATTTATTTGATCAAAAATACTATGTAATATTGTGAAATATTTTCACAATTTAAAATTGGTTTTCTATTTTAATTTACTTTAAAATATCATTTATTTCTGTGACATAAAGCTGAATTTTCATCAGCCATTACTCCAGACTTAAGTGTCGCACGATCCTTCAGAAATCCATTATTAAAATAGAAAACATTATTTTAAATATATATTAATTTATTTATTTAGATATTACAACATACTGTTCAGTACATATTATAAAGAACCATTTAAAATGAACTATTCAGGAATGAAGAATAAAGTGTACATTTTGAGCATCAGATGGTGTTGATGAGGTTCTGCATGAGCGACTCGGATGTCTTGTGCTTTTGTGAGTGAGATCTTGAGGTCTATAGGTGTGACACAACAGATACTCACTCATTCCACACTATATTCCTGCGGTTTCTCCGGAAGCCTGCGTCTCGCACCAATCATCTGGAACAGCTTTGCCACACTAGTTTCCGTGTTCCTGAAGATTACAGGCCGGCTTTGAAGCACTCTTCTCTCTTTGTCTGCATGCAATGCTCTCTGGTAATTAACTTTGTCCTTCTTTTATTTGTTCCAGTCTTCCTCCGTCCACTCTTCTGAGCATCTTCTCCCAGGAGTACCAGGTTAGAAGTTTTCTTCCTTTGTGCGGCCTGACAGCTGCCTAATTGAATGATGAATGTCCCCTTATTTCTGTGTAATTGAACTGCCAACTCTCTGATTGGTTTGGAGGATTCCCCTCGCCCGACACGCACACACACACACACACACACACACACACTCACTCACTCGCGCACACACACACACACACACACACACTCACTCGCGCACACACACATACACACACACTCACTCGCGCGCACACACACACACGCACGCGTACACACACACCACACACACACACACAGACACACTCGCTCACTCACACACACACTTTCTCTCGCGCACACACACACACTCTCTCGCGCCTGAGTCTCGGTGGACCTCTGCCAACTCCATCTGTCTAATAACATCGAGCCGCTGCTTATTTGCCGGACCTGTAATAAATTATGCTAAACCATTATTATTCTGACAGTAATAATTTCCCGGTGCAGCGCGGCTCGGTGTGCTAAATGTTTGCTGACTCGCGCTGTCGCGGCTGCTTTGGGCGTCTGACAGCCGATGAAGATCGATGGCCGCTGCTGCGGTGGCAGACGACTGCAGAGGCACAAAACAGAGCCATTCATCATCCGGCCGACAGCCGTCACTCACTCGCTGTGTCTCGCAGAATTACTTTTGTAGTTTTTAAATAAGTTGTTTTTAAGCGCCGCTCTCGCTGTCCTCCGCTGAATCGCATTAGAAAGGAAAGCTGGAGCGGATGTAGTTTAGTAGAAGAGGAAATGAAAGCGCAGGGCCATCTGACCCCTCAGAGCCAGAGCGAACGCTCCCACACACACAGTGAGAAACAGTGAAATAATATATAATGTGTCCTTGATTAAAAGGAGTTTCGATGGTAGTGTAAACAAAACTGGTTATTTTATTAATCCCTGTTTTTGTAACTTAGTGGACTCGATTCAAAATACCATTTGATTCATGTCATGAATCAGTTCACATTATTAAACCACTGAGTTCAAAACAGCTAGTCTGATTCCAGATCAGTGTCTCAAGTTAGAAACACATAAACCTCTGTAATATCATTTGATCCTCATCCAGTTTAGTTTAGTTCAGGTTGCATATATAAGTTTCATTGGTTTCAGTTCCTGCTCCGGTGTGTTTGTTTCAGAAGCGGATGAAGCGCAGCATGGTGAGGCATCACGCTCCTGACGTGCTCAAAGCATATTATCAGAGGTAAGAAACATCTCCAGCCCGACAACATCACATGCATCGGCTCCTGAAATACATCTTCAAAAGTTTAACAATCTTAAACATGCAATGATCCAGTCAGGTGTTCAGACACATCTGCTCCTGAATATTCTCATCAATATTTGTCTTCATGAGAATACAGCTTATACACAATACACCAAACCCATAAAATCACTGTCAACAATTATTCAATAAACCAGTTGACAATGAAACAAAGCTTTGTGTGCACCTGTTCCTGTATGTTTCAAATATTTGATCAAAAATACAGAAAAAAACTAATCTTGCAAAATGTTATTACAATATAAAATAATGGTTTTTATTTCAATATCTGTTAAACTGTAATGTATTTCTGTGATGCGCAGCTGTATTTTCAGCATCATTCCTCCAGTCTTCAGTGTCACATGATCTTCAGAAATCAGTGTAATATGCAGATTTATTATTAGAATTATCAATATTTTTTTTGGAAACTGCAATACTTTTTTCAGGTTTCTTTGATTAATTAAAAGTTAAAAAGAACAGCATTTATTCAAAATAGAAAGCTTTTTTAACCATATAAATCTTTGCTATCACTTCTTATCAATTTAACAACTCCTTGCTGAATAAAAGTTTTAATTTCTTTCAAAAAAAGAAAGAATAAAAACTTACTGACTTTTGAACGGTACTGTATATTGTTAGAAAAAATGTCTATTTTAAATAAATGCTCTTTTTAACTTTTTATTCATCAAAGAATCCTGAAAAAAGTATCACAGCTTTCAAAACGATATGAAACACACTCACTCACTCGCGCACACACACACGCACGCGCGCACACACACACACACAAGCACACACACACCACACACACACCACACACACACTCTCTCTCTCACGCACACACACACACACACAAGCGCACACACACACACACAGACACACTCGCTCACTCACACACACACTTTCTCTCGCGCACACACACACACTCTCTCGCGCCTGAGTCTCGGTGGACCTCTGCCAACTCCATCTGTCTAATAACATCGAGCCGCTGCTTATTTGCCGGACCTGTAATAAATTATGCTAAACCATTATTATTCTGACAGTAATAATTTCCCGGTGCAGCGCGGCTCGGTGTGCTAAATGTTTGCTGACTCGCGCTGTCGCGGCTGCTTTGGGCGTCTGACAGCCGATGAAGATCGATGGCCGCTGCTGCGGTGGCAGACGACTGCAGAGGCACAAAACAGAGCCATTCATCATCCGGCCGACAGCCGTCACTCACTCGCTGTGTCTCGCAGAATTACTTTTGTAGTTTTTAAATAAGTTGTTTTTAAGCGCCACTCTCGCTATCCTCCGCTGAATCGCATTAGAAAGGAAAGCTGGAGCGGATGTAGTTTAGTAGAAGAGGAAATGAAAGCGCAGGGCCACCTGACCCCTCAGAGCCAGAGCGAACGCTCCCACACACACAGTGAGAAACAGTGAAATAATATATAATGTGTCCTTGATTAAAAGGAGTTTCGATGGTAGTGTAAACAAAACTGGTTATTTTATTAATCCCTGTTTTTGTAACTTAGTGGACTCGATTCAAAATACCATTTGATTCATGTCATGAATCAGTTCACATTATTAAACCACTGAGTTCAAAACAGCTAGTCTGATTCCAGATCAGTGTCTCAAGTTAGAAACACATAAACCTCTGTAATATCATTTGATCCTCATCCAGTTTAGTTTAGTTCAGGTTGCATATATAAGTTTCATTGGTTTCAGTTCCTGCTCCGGTGTGTTTGTTTCAGAAGCGGATGAAGCGCAGCATGGTGAGGCATCACGCTCCTGACGTGCTCAAAGCATATTATCAGAGGTAAGAAACATCTCCAGCCCGACAACATCACATGCATCGGCTCCTGAAATACATCTTCAAAAGTTTAACAATCTTAAACATGCAATGATCCAGTCAGGTGTTCAGACACATCTGCTCCTGAATATTCTCATCAATATTTGTCTTCATGAGAATACAGCTTATACACAATACACCAAACCCATAAAATCACTGTCAACAATTATTCAATAAACCAGTTGACAATGAAACAAAGCTTTGTGTGCACCTGTTCCTGTATGTTTCAAATATTTGATCAAAAATACAGAAAAAAACTAATCTTGCAAAATGTTATTACAATATAAAATAATGGTTTTTATTTCAATATCTGTTAAACTGTAATGTATTTCTGTGATGCGCAGCTGTATTTTCAGCATCATTCCTCCAGTCTTCAGTGTCACATGATCTTCAGAAATCAGTGTAATATGCAGATTTATTATTAGAATTATCAATATTTTTTTTGGAAACTGCAATACTTTTTTCAGGTTTCTTTGATTAATTAAAAGTTAAAAAGAACAGCATTTATTCAAAATAGAAAGCTTTTTTAACCATATAAATCTTTGCTATCACTTCTTATCAATTTAACAACTCCTTGCTGAATAAAAGTTTTAATTTCTTTCAAAAAAAGAAAGAATAAAAACTTACTGTCTTTTGAACGGTACTGTATATTGTTAGAAAAAATGTCTATTTTAAATAAATGCTCTTTTTAACTTTTTATTCATCAAAGAATCCTGAAAAAAGTATCACAGCTTTCAAAACGATATGAAGCAGCAACAGTTTCTAACACTGATCATAAATCAGCATATTATACTGATTTCTGAAGATCATGTGACGCTGAAGACTGGAGGAATGATGCTGAAAATACAGCTGCGCGTCAGAGAAATACATTATATTTTAATGTATATTAAAATAGAAACACATTATTTTACATCATCATAATATTTCACAATATTACATTTTTTCCTGTATTTTTGATCAAATAAATGCAGCCTTGATGAGCAGAAGCATTAAAAAACATAAAAAATCATCCTGATCTCAAACTTTTGAGCGGTAGTGTATATATATATATATATATATATATATATATATATATATTCTATAGTCTATAAATAGTCTATAGTTATTTTTTTTTACTTTTAAACTTAAGTTAAACTTTTTTTTAAAGTCTGCTAATAATTTGATTAATTGAAGAGGAAGGGTTTTAAGGTCATGGCCACTTGTTGGAGATGTAGATACATCAGCTTTAAAAAAACAGCTCTGTTATTCTCCCAAAAACCAAATCAGATGAAACCAGATGATCTGACTTCTGACAAACACGCTGGTGTCTGAAGGAAAGCTGCGTTACGAGCGCGGCGGACCTGTGAGGGCTTCGTGGTTTGAGGTTAATGATGGGCCTCGTCTGCTTTGGCTTTCGGAGCCGTGGAGGCTGAATCCGTCAGGGACGCTGACATGTCCTGACTTGCTGTCCTCTCTTCTCGTTGTTGTTGTGTGTGGTAATGAAGGTACCGCAGCGAAGCCCAGACTCGTCCTACAGCCCCGCTTCTGCTGGAGCTCGCCAACCAGGTACTGAAATACACGCTTTATTATTATTCTCCAGCAGAGTTTTGCTCAAACATAATTAACCCAGAAGATTCAGAGATTCATTGGGAGTGTTCCCAGTCTGTTAGTACTTATAAAAATTGGGCTAATGGTTGGGCCTATTAACCAATGATTTGGTGCAATTATTCTTCATGGAAAAATAGTTGAGTGTCATTATCATAAGTGACTTTCATAAATGCGTCTGCGCTCTGTTATTGACACGGAGGTCAGTGGTTAATATCTCTGTTTAGGTGTGGTGTTTATATATTGAAGCTCTCTCTTACTTCTGAAGCTTCATTAAGTGTTGGAGTGATTCCTGTGTCAGTGCTGGATCTCTCATTACAGGCTGATCTGCTCACACTCCTGCCATCATCAGAGAGCGCCGTTTACTCTCAGATCTCATGAGAAATAATGATACAGCCTCCATTCATTACTGCAGGAACCATGACATCGATTTACTCCCAAATGCATATTTTATTTTATATTATATACATTTTTATTGTATTTAATTTAATTACTTTTAATTACATTTTATTTATTTTAAATAAAATAAAATAATTCAATTTTATTTTATTTTAAATAAAAAAAAATTATATTACATTTTTTAATTTAATTTAATTTTAATCAAAAGCATATCTAATCATTAGATTTAATAATTTTTTAAATAATTTACAATCATTTTAATGATAATAGGGCCCTATTAAATTTTTTTATTTAAGTCAGAAATTCTGTGTTGTCTGTTGTTAGCTGGATTCTGTGTTGTATGATTTAATTCTAATTGATCAAAAACGGAGGTAATTAAGTGAATGCATGAAACATTAAAATATGATCAAATACAACTTAAATATTTCTTTAATTTTTTTGGCAAACAAAGTGCTGCACGACAGAGGTTTACAGTTTCAATTAAACATGTACAAAACAGTGTGAAAGTAAAAGGGACACTTTATAAAAAACCTGTATTTATAATACATTATATAAGTTAATTTTAAAGGTGACATATTATGCCACTTTTTACAATATGTAATGTAAGTCTCTGGTGTCCCCAGAATGTGTCTGTGAAGTTTCAGCTCAAAATTCTCCACAGATCATTTATACTATCATTTTGAAAATGCCTATTTTGAGTGGAAGCAGAAACACGATGTTTTTCGGGCCTGTCTCTTTAAATGCAAATGAGCTGCTGCTCCCCGCCCCCTTTTCCAGAATAGAACTGCGCCATTACAGCTCGTATCTGCTAAAAACATCTGTTTTGGTTCTGATTATCGTGTTTATCTCGCTGAAATCATGCGTTTTTAACCATATGAGTTTAAACTTCTGATATAGGGTTTTCTGAGCGCACACATCTGAAGCACACGCACAGAAAGCGGCTGTCACAGCATGCGAGTAACGTTACTAAACTAAGCTCTCATTCACACACACAGTTTACGTTTCCTTGGTTGGTAGATGCAACCTTACAACCTGGAAAAGTCACCTTTAAGGCATTGTAATGCATTCATGTTGTCTTATGAAAAAAAAGACTTAATATATTTTTTTCATGAATAATTGTGACAACAGTTACAATGCTCGCCTGTTTTTAAGAGTATGATTTATAACACTATGAACACCTTGGATTACAGTTGCCATAGTAATTATGAGTTTACAGTCTCATATCTTGACATTAAGTTGATTAAATTACATTTTTCTGTGAAAGTGACAATACGGAGTAATGTGGGCTTAATATTTATAAGTGGTCTTTGTATGCTTTTAAGTATTGTCATCTTTTAAATAGCCGTAAGATCTCATTATTGCATTATATGAGAGATTTGGCTTATAATGTGATATCAATAAAGTGCTATTGCGCAGTTTCAGATGTAAAAGTTTTTCCAGTGAGCCTCACAGAAACACTCCGATATGAACAACAGGACAGATCTTAAATAAAGAGTGTCAAGATATACATTTAACAACTGTTGTTGTGATTATTCATGAGATGATTCCACATATTATGTGTTGTGAGTAAAGTATTTGTTTGTAATGTGTGAGGGTTGCAGGAACGGTTTGTTTGATGATGTTGTGTGCTTTTGTGTTGCATGATAATGCCTCCAGAGCTCTGCAGTGATTGTGATCAGCTGAACTGATGTACAGTTTGTTGATGAAGGATCTGAGCGCTCTTCCTCATAAGTGTCTCATGACTCAGTTTAATGCTCTGCTTCACATTTACACTGTGCTCTCATGCCGCTCCGCTCGCCGCTAATTGCTACAGTCATAGCGCTTTATGGCACAATATATATCTCCAACTGAGCTGCACCATAAAACCATGAGAATTGGAGCCCATCGCTCGACACAAACAGCAGTGAATCCAGTCCAGTGTCTGTTATTTAACCTGATTAAAGAGTGATGAATGTGATTGGAGCTTCATGAACGTTACTCACACGTTTCAGATGAGAGATCCGCTCACGATTAATCTGAAAACGATGAGAAGGAGCACCTGAATCAGGTAGACGTCATTATTCAGTGTCAGCTGTGTGCGCTTGCCGTGTTCTCCTCATCCAGCCGCGTTACTCGTGATCGTGAGTCTGTGAGCTTCAGAGAGACAGAAACCTCGGGCTGCAGCGCAGGAGCGTTCACACCGTCTAATGATGACTTCTGTTTCTGTGTAACTGCTGTAGTGACCTCACACACTAAACACCATGCACAACCAGCATCAGCAACAGTCAGTCTACCTATGGGTTACTTTAAACTTAAAGGGTTAGTTCACCCAAAAATTAAAATTGGGCTGTTATTTACTCACCCTCAAGGCATCCTAGGTGTATATGACTTTCTTCTTTCGGATGAATCCAGTCGGAGTTATATTAAACATTGTCTTTGATCTTTAAAGCGGTTTCATGGCACTCAGCGGGTGTTGCATGCATCAGTCCAAAAGAAGTCAAATAAAAAGCACCCATCCATAAAAAAAGTGTCTCACACGGCTCCGGGGGGTGAACAAAGGCCTTGTCGGAGGACTTCGATATAAGCCAAGAGGACACTGGTTTTCTTTTGCTAAAGTAAGGAAACTTTGCATCCTTTGCTCCTGTTAACAAACTCTGGTTTTCACGAGACTCACCGGCGCATGCGTAATGCTGACCTCATACCTCATCCGCCCGGAGCTGCTTCCGTGTACAACTGCTGGTGCAAGCTAGATTAAAGTGATTAAGTTTTGAATATGGATATTTTTCTTACAAAAACACATCGATTCGCTACAGAAGGCCTTTGTTCACCCCCCGGAGCCGTGTGAGACACTTTTTTTTATGGATGTGCACTTTTTATTTAACTGATTTTGGACTGATGCATGCAACACCTGCTGAGTGCCATTAAACAGCTTGAAAGACCTAGGATGAGGTTCACCCATTTTTGGGTGAACTAACCCTTTAAAGCAATAGTTCAGTCACAACTGAAAAGGTGCTCACCCTCAGACCATCCAAGATTAGGATGAGTGTGTTTCTTCATCAGGTTTGTAGAAATGTAGCACTGCATCAGTGTCTCAGCAATGGATGCTCTGCAGTGAATGGGTGCCGTCAGAATGAGAGTCCAAACAGCTGATAAAAACATCAGAATAATCCACAAGTAATCCACAGCACTCCAGTCCATCAGTTAACATCTGGAGAAGACAAAAGCTGAAACTCATCCAGCATTAAGACGTTTTTAACTAAAATACGAGTCTATAATCCATAATAACTCTTCCTCCAGTGAGTCAGTGTTCTGGTGTGAATCAGGAGAGAAATCTGCACAGATCAAGCAGTGTTTAAACAGCTCTAAACACATATGTGGCTGGATTTTGATGCGAGAGACAACAGCAGATGCACTTTTTCACTGCAGGGGTGCATTATTAAATATCTTTCAAATTTGATTTTTGTCAGCTGTTATGCTGTGGAATGATGTTAAAATATACGACACATAAAACTGATGTGCTTTTTAAAGTGACTGAAATTATTAAAGTGAGTGAATTGAATATAAACTCATTCCATTCATTTAAAATGATGGTGTTGTTGGATGCGGATGAAGACGTCGGTGGAGTAATTGAGCCCCAAGTGTGTACTGGATGTGTGCCGCATCGGATCAATCGATTACACACTGAGTATTGATGATCAGTGAATGCAGGTCTCTGTGTGTCTCTGTCAGGTGGACCTGTCTCCGGCTCTCCTGGCGCGTCTGATCGTGGAGTGTTTTCTGGAGGAGCGCGCGGCTTCAGTCCGTGAGTAGAGGAGTTTATTTCTTAATGAGACAGACAGGCTCTTTCAGTTTTTCTACTTTAAAATTTCATTTTTAATTCAGTGTGTTACCATTTGTGAAATTTACTAGCAATTTCTGAGTGAAAACTGCTTCAAAGTAATCCCTACACCAAGTTTATGACCGTGCTCATCTATTATTATTATTATTATTATTACTTGTTCAAACAGGAGACATTTATCTATATCATGCAGAATTTCATTATTGGTTCATCAGCATCCAGCATCGCATATACAGGAGAAAATATATCTTTATATGTTTCAGTGTGTGTGGAGTGGTGTGTCTTTGAGCACCAATATAGACATTTTAGCCCATATCAATATGTGATGCTTATTGTTGTGATTGCCAAAATAATAGGCTAGTCATTTGTGTGTAAATTGAGCAAATAAGATGTTTCTTTATCACACATTTCCAACAAACTATTTAGCAAGCAAAAGATTATTTTGTTTATGTGAGTCTGTGTCTGTGTCTGTGTCTGTGTCTGTGTCTGTGTCTGTGTGAGTGTGTGAGTGAGTGAGTGAGTGTCTGCCTGTGAGTGTGTGTGTGTGTGAGTGAGGGAGTGTGTGTGTGTGTCTGTGTGAGTGAGTGTGTTGTGTGTGTGTGTGAGTGAGTGTCTGTGTGTGTGTGTGAGTGAGTGTCTGTCTGTGAGTGTGTCTGTCTGAGTGTGTCTGTGTGTGTGTGTGTGTGTGTGAGTGAGTGAGAGTGTGTGTGTGTGAGAGTGTGTGTGTGTGTCTCTGTGTGTGTGGGAGGGAGTGAGTGTGTTTGTGTGTTTGTGTGTTTGTCTGTGTGTGTGAGAGAGAGAGAGAGTGTGTGTGTGGTCAGTGTGTTTCTGTAGTTTTTAGCGGCTGGATGTCAGTAGAAGTGGACGACGCTTGTCCTTTAAGCATTCAGTGCATACAGACCCACACAGCTTCCGCCATCTTCCTCTATATACACACTCACACACTCACTCACTCACTCACTCACTCACTCACTCACTCACTCACTCACTCACTCACACACACACACACACACACACACACACACACACACACACACACACACACACACACA